TCCTAGTTTATGCGATAATTTAAATACGCGTGAATATTGTACTGCGTCGCGATGGAGCCTGCGATGGAAAAGTTAGATATTCATTCAACTTCGGAAGCTTTTGAGGATTATTTGGAAAGGTTTAAAATCTGGAGCATGACTAAGAAAGATGTTAAAAGTGATAAAATTGTAGCACATTTCCTGACATTTATTGGGAGAGAAGCGTACAGCTTATTAAAAACTTTGGCATATCCAGATAAACCTATCTCACTCCCTTACGCAACTCTTAAGGAGCTATTATTAAATCATGTTAAGTACACCAGTTTCGAATGCTGTGAAAGGGCGAAATTTCATAAGATGGTTCGTCAAAATGACCAAAACGTTCGGGAATTCATCTTTGAATCGCAGAAACAAGCTGCCAAGTGTGATTTGGGTGATAAACTTCATGTGCAACTGAGAGATCGATTAATTGCAGGAATTTACATACCGGGTTCGGAAAGAGAACTGTTAAGAATGCCAAACTGTTCCTTTCAAGATGCTAGAACTGCGTGTATTAACTACGAGGCAGTGAATGAACTTGATATTCAGTCGATGAATATTTCTAATACTTTGCTTAGTCGTCATGATGAACTACAATCTCAGGGTCAATCAAACTTGCGTTCGTTTAACAGTGATTCCTATTCTCGTGTAAATATGAAAGGTGTTTCAACTAGGAATTACAAAGCAAATCACAAAGGTGAGATGAAGTTTGGTAAATGTTTATCGTGTGGAAAGTTTCATTCCCATAATTCATGTGCATTTCGTAATGCTAAATGTTTTAAATGTGGTAAGATAGGACACATTCAATCAGTATGCAAAGTTACTGTCCATTTCGCTTCAAGTAGTACTAAATCTTGTAATTTAAATCTCAATAATTCGAATGTTTCTAGTGATCGTTTATCTTTTTCTATCATTTCGAAAGGTAATGCTCATATTCAAAAGCGACTATATACATTGCTTGGTTCATTTCATGACTTTATTGTGGACACAGGCAGTATGGAGTCCATCATTTCATTCAAGAACTTGAAATCTTTAGATCCTAACGTTGTGGTACGACCCGCTGAAGTATCAATATTAGGGATTAATGGATACATACTGCCCATACGAGGATGTTGTGAATTGCTAATAAGAGATGATAATTTTTCATACATACCTTGTGAATTTTTAGTTAGCGAAACAGGACTGTCAATGCTGGGTTTAAAAGATTTGAAAAGGCTTAAGGTGGAGTTGTCCTTCCTAGTTTCTAGAGAAAATTCTGATACTTTACTTAAAGATGTGATAGCTATGTGTGCTAAGTGCAGTGGAGGTATGAAAATTCAGCCTATAAAACTTCAAGTACAGGGTGATCCAGTCGTTCTTAAAAGACGAATAATTCCTTATGGTCTTCGAGAAGCAGTACATAAGACATTAAACGATTTGTGTGCGAAAAGCATAATTGAACCAATTCAGTCTTCAGCATGAGGTATGTAGAACTATGGTCTACTATGATATCTGAACTCCCGTTTGTTGAAGCGAACGTGCACGACGGTAGAGGCTGAAGATATTCTAAATCGACTTCATGGTTCTAAAGTGTTCTCGGAAGTTGACCTAAAAGATGCCTATCTTCAAATTCCTTTAGGTCAATCTTCATCTGTTTTGACGACAATTAACACTCCTTTTGGTCTGTTCAAATACAATTTCCTTCCATTTGGTCTAAGTTGTTCTCCATCCATATTTCAAGAAGTTATGAATAAAGTAGTTAGTGATCTTGAAGGTGTTGAAGTTTATCAAGATGACCTCATTGTTCATGGTTTTAGTAAGGTAGTTCATGACCAGAAACTTATCGCGTTATTGCGTCGTTTAATTGAGAAGAATGTTACAGTGAATCCAAATAAGTGTTCATTTTGTGTATCTAGTTTTGAATGCCTTGGATACCTAGTTGATGGTAATGGTTTTAGACCAGATATGAAACGACTAGCTCCACTGACAAATGCACCGTCTCCGAAAAATCTTACGGAATTACGTTCACTAGTGGGTGCTCTTCAATACTATTCCCGTTTTATTCCTAATTTTTCTTGTCATGCAAATTGTTTATTAAATATGTTGACATCCAATTCATTCAAATGGAGTGAGGAACAAGAGTCATGCTTACGAAGTATACTGAAGTTTCCTCAAAGTGATGCTGTTCTTCGAATCTACTCCCCTAGTGTACATTGTGCGCTTACTACTGATGCATCACCTGTGGGTATTGACGCAGTTTTGGAGCAGGAAGGTAGATCAGTTATTTGTGTTTCACGCAAACTTACTGTTACTGAACAAGGTTATTCACAGACTCAGTGAGAAGCATTAGCTGTGTTTTGGGCTGTTAAAAGACTTCACAAATATTTATTCGGAAAGAAATTCACTATTGTTACTGATCATGAAGCTTTAAAGTTTATTTATCATCTTGAAAAATCCTTAGCAAGTTCCTCAGCTGCTATGGTTCAACGATGGAGTATTGTTTAAAGTGCATATCACTATACGGTTCAGCACAGAAGTGCTAAACTAATTCAACACGTTGACTACATTTCTCGACAGTCGTAACAAGATAGACCTGTTAATACTTCAGACTGTTTGTTAGTACAGCCTTTACCAGTGAGACGTTCAGATTTCATTAGAGAAACTCGCAGATATTTTGGATGTATACTCAGTGCTATACGGAAAGGCTGGAATACTAATTTGAAACGTAGATTTCCTGTTTATTTTTCAAAGCGGGATGAACTATCTACTACTCCTGATGGTATTCTGTGTTTAAATGATCGTGTTGTCATTCCTCCTTCATTGCGTAAATCTGTTTTTGAAGATCTTCATAGTGGTCATTCAGTTGTTGAGAAAATGAAGTCCTTGGCAAGACTCACATGTTGGTGGCCAGAGATAAATGCAGATATATGTCGTACGGGAAACAATTATGAGAAATGTCATCAGTTGATAAATCATCCTTGGAAGTGGATGCCATGTCCAGTATCGTCTGAGGCTTGGCAAAGAACTCATGCTGACTATTGTGGTCCGCTTCTTGGTAAATACTATGCACTAGTAGTGATTGATTCTTGTTCAAAGTGGCTCGAAGTTTTCTTCACAACTTCACCAAATTCTAATTTCACAATCCAAGCATTAAGAAAGGTGTTTAGTCGAGAAGGGGCTCCTATGGTGTTAGTCTCTGATAATTGCTCTCACTTTATTGCAGATGCAGTCACTACCTGGTTGAACGGTATAGGGTGCAAACACCTGTTTACTGCTCCCATACATCCGTGTTCTAATGGTCAGGCAGAGAATTTTGTCAGGACATTAAAGACTGCTATTGATTCTATAGCCGCCTCAACATTTAATGAGCTGGAGAGGGTAGTAGATACCTTTCTATTGCAATATAGAAATGCCAGACATTCGGTGATGAAGGAGACTCCAGCGAAACTATTGAAAGGAAGAATTCTTCGGTTGAATATGAGATGTTTGGAGTCTGCAGAAGTTACATACTATCGAGGGAATGATCTTTGATCATCTACGGGTATTATTCTGAAGAATGTCGGAAAATCGATGGTGCGAGTTCTAGACAACGACTTAAGTACACACAGTCAACATGTTGATCAAATACAATTTCAGGAACCAGGTGAGTCAGTTCCAATTTCGGTTTTTAATTCTAATGCTAATGAGCACATTCTAGATAATACAGAATCCTTATCTAATACAATGTCAGACAGACTTAGGATGAGTTTGAGAAGAAAACGTAAGATTGATTACAGACACCTAGACTCCAATTTAAGCCGTGGCGGATGTGGTGTTTGAACGAACTAATGATACCTTGATACTTGTGGATTGCTCGATTTCAAATTCCAGATACAATACATTCGTTTGTGCTCGTGTCTTACTTCTTGATTCAATTGCGTTAATTCTGGGATTCCTAGTTTATACGATAATTCAAATACGTGTGAACATTATATGCACCCACTTTCAGCCAAGCCAATATAGTGAAAGGAAAACTATCGAGTTTCACCATAACCAAATACATTTATGAAGTAATAACTTCTTAACTCCATTCACAAAGGACGTTACTCTCTGTTAAGGCAGTTCGACCAGAAATTTAGCTCTATCAAACGTGGATGGAGAAAGAACGTCCAATTAGTGTACTGGAGAAAGTTTAAAAGGAAAAGACTGGAATGTATCACAGATGAAGTTTATTCAAAAATCATATCGAAGTTATCGTACACATTGAATAGTACTGTAACAGTAAATAAATGCCGAAAATAAATAGCTCTGTAAGTCTTCGACATTGGATGCTGGCCACATTTGTTTTAATGGACTCACCTAGCTGAAGGCTCTTGGTCATTCATCCGCACCAGATCACGAGTGGGAACGCCGTGCTCAACAACCCCTGCAATCACTAAGCAGATTAGATCAGACGATCCTCGATATATTGACAGCCTATCAAATATATCTTCGAACGTCATCGCTTCTGACTTTTGATTTCACTTGGTGGGTACGATTCATAGTAGAAGATGTTGCCGGTTAAAGCGTTGTAAAACTCCAAATACCTGGGGCATCTTCAGTACACAAAAAACCTTGCAAAAAAACTTGTGCGAACAGTTTCATGATTAGAATCTGTAGGTTCTAAGAATCTTTGTTAGAAGTAGGAGAACGTGGACTTTCTGAAACTTAATCACTCATCCCGCCGATAAATAATTTTTAACCTCCAGATTCAAAAACAATGGGATGAAGAATAAACCTCTTTGTAATTGCTCTCTCTCTTGTACTTTTCGAATTCAGGACCCAAGGAATAAACAATTTTTTTACACCTCAGTAAAGCTTCGTGTTTGAATAGTCAAAGTAACGACTTTTTCTCTCGCAGATTAGGGAGGGTTTTCCAAACCTGTGTGAGTTGTTAAAGTGGTGGCAGTTTGCGAGCCTATCGACTAAAGTCGCTGTTGGATGGTCTTTACCACGAATAACGGATATCATTCTAAATCTTTATCATGAAGCTGGATCAAACAAGTGATGAGTCGTCGAATACATTCCTGTCGAAGGTTTGTCGCCCGGTCACTGTGGTTAGTTAACGTTGAAGTACATTATCCTTAATATCATTTATCAGATGCACCAAACCATAATCGATAAGCTCTATCCGTATAGGATAACTAGATGGCTATTTGCATTGCTGTTATTTGCTATTTACGTGCTCCGGATAGCAACTATTCAGGTGCGTCGACTTATTTTACATAATGTTTATGTTCAGGGCTTCCATATAGTTAGCTATACTCTCGCAATATATTTGTTGAGTTTATTCATATCATTTATTTCTCCAAAAGTAGATCCTGCTGCTGCAGATTATTCGGGTAAGTGTATGCTATTCATATTCCTAAATGGCTACTAGATGAAATCCCTACACTTCCACGAACTGTAGGTGAAGAGTTCAGACCTTTTATACCAAGATTACTTGAATCAAAATTCTGGTAAGACTCTGCTTCCTAGTTTTTTTGTGGTAGGTTATATGTATTTCGAACGTTAGTTTTATATTTTGATTTATCCATACACGCCATACGTATTAGTAATACGTAAAACAGTTCAGAAACGTAATTCACATGACTACTACCTTAATTGATTATAATTTAGCAAAATTTTCGTAGTATTTTGTTTCACAAAAGAATACTTACATTATTCAGTGGTGGATATATATCTATCGTGCTACTCTTTTCCGTTGATCATGATTATTTCAGCATCATTCTGAGAAGGTTGAAATGCGGCTGTTAGTTTTGCCATTAAGAATCTCAGCTGATCTAATTTCGTCGCTAGTTTTGTAGTGTTTTACTGTGCTAGACTACGTTTCTCATTATTGTCAACATTCATATTATGGACGATCAACATATTGCTGCAAACATCATCTGCAACTAAAAACCAGTTTGAATACAGTCCCATCTAGCGAATTCGGCAGAGATCTAATGCCAAGAAAAAGCGATCCCTGTCGGTTCGGAGTGCATGTGGCGATTTCCGAAGACTTGATAGGTTACTATGACACCAAAGCCCCTAGCGTGTCGCTTGATATAAGGACAGTCAATACTTAGTATATAGCATTGGTACAAAAGGCGCCAAAACATGCACCACACAAATCATTTGGCGTGAGGGCTGGAATACTGCTCGGGCACCCAAGCTAAAGCAGACGGTTTTCTTGCCCCCAAATGCCCTGGTGTGGCCGAGAGTGGGGTTGGCCCGCCCTTCCTCTCAAAATGCTTTCACACGGCCACGCGTATACAGCCTCTGCCAGGGGAGTCTTGCTCACTGCCTTCTCGTGGCGGGGGTGTTGTTTACGAAAATGAGAGAACAAACAGCGAATGTCCGGCGCTTTATCCGGATCCCAAACCAATGGTGCACATGGGTTCCAGTATCCTGCGAAACAAGTGGCGTAGGAGCCAGTCGTTGGCCACCGGCTACCACGAGACTATATCTCCTCAGGATGCTCCATTGCCTTGTGTGTCAGACCTTTAGGCCAAACGCTCGGGATGTGGCCCCCTAAGATAACCACCTGCTTCGGTTTGGGCATCCGAACAGTATCACAGCCAACACACAAATAAAATGTAATGGCGATATTTATTGAAAATTCTATTCTCGCTTCGATTTACAGTCAAACGATTCACATTATTATTATTATTTACTACGTCATTTACTCACTCTCTTTTATTCCCACTTTATGTATTCCTATTTTTCGACTTATACAGCAGCTCGCCTATAGTGGGAACTCGGTTCTATCTGAACGTTCTCGATTCACTGCCTGGTTAAAAATTGTATGTTACCACCAAATACGAATACTGAAGCAGTTTTTCTGAAACCACGTGCACCATTCAAACTGGCTGCCTTCAACGTTCGCGCACTTATGCAGGTCGGACAACAGATGGGGCTGGCTATGTCTTTGGAAAGTCTCAATATCGACGTTTGTTGTCTGTCCGAGACCCGTATTCAAGACTGATGAAGTGCCACAAGTTCGCTCTCCATCTGTCGCTTCAAAAAGCTTGTTTAATGTGCGTTTATCCGGGGTCCCTGTGGCATCTTCGTCTGGTCTTGCTGGCGTTGGTGTCGCACTAAGCGCTAGAGCTGAGGCAGCACTAATCGATTAGATCCCCATCAACAGTCGGCTATGTGCTGTTAGATTAGAAAGTTCCACCAAAGTGAGAAGAAATCGGCATGAGAAACAATGTCTTTTCGTCATCTCCGCCTATGCCCCGACAGATTGCAGCCCGGATGCAATCAAGTATGGATTCTACCACCAGTTATCTGTTCTTCTCCAGAAAGTGCGTTCGGCAGATATTGTAGTACTAGCCGGAGACTTGCATGCTCAAGTCGGGCGTCTAGACACAGAAGAGAATCGTTTGGGTGGCCTATGGGGACTTGCTGGTCGCAGGACAGACAACGGAGACCGTCTAATGCAACTGTGCACAGACCACAACCTGTCTCTGGCTAGCACTAACTTTCGGCACAGTCATCGCCGATGTGCCACCTGGCGTCCTTCCTCTGCATCTCAAGCATGAACTCAGATTGGTCACATCGCGATCAGCTACCGCTGGCGTGGTTGTTGTCCAGGACTGCCGCTACTTTTGGAGTACACATCTGGACTCTGATCATGCCTTGGTCTGCGCCAATCTTACCTTACTTTTCAGTGGCCAACGAAGTGACCGCCACCAACGGATTGATGTTAGCAAGTTGGTTGCAACTAAGTATCGAACCGAGTTGGCCTTTAGGCTAGCTGTCATTCCACCCAAAAATATAGATAAGCAACTTCGTGACGCCATGACAATGGACGCAATCAGAAGTAGCCTGAAGCAACCCAGTGCTTATAAGCGGGACATTTTGCAAAGATGCAAGCGGTTTTACTCGCCATTTTGATGGCGTCATGAGGTTGCAACCAATGCTCATCTATACTATTCGGTGGGATGGTAGCTAGCCTAGAAGCTAGCTCGGTTCGATACTTAGTTGCAACCAACTTGCTAACATCAATCCGTTGGTGGCGGTCACTTCGTTGGCCACTGAAAAGTAAGGTAAGATTGGCGCAGACCAAGGCATGATCAGAGTCCAGATGTGTACTCCAAAAGTAGCGGCAGTCCTGGACAACAACCACGCCAGCGGTAGCTGATCGCGATGTGACCAATCTGAGTTCATGCTTGAGATGCAGAGGAAGGACGCCAGGTGGCACATCGGCGATGACTGTGCCGAAAGTTAGTGCTAGCCAGAGACAGGTTGTGGTCTGTGCACAGTTGCATTAGACGGTCTCCGTTGTCTGTCCTGCGACCAGCAAGTCCCCATAGGCCACCCAAACGATTCTCTTCTGTGTCTAGACGCCCGACTTGAGCATGCAAGTCTCCGGCTAGTACTACAATATCTGCCGAACGCACTTTCTGGAGAAGAACAGATAACTGGTGGTAGAATCCATACTTGATTGCATCCGGGCTGCAATCTGTCGGGGCATAGGCGGAGATGACGAAAAGACATTGTTTCTCATGCCGATTTCTTCTCACTTTGGTGGAACTTTCTAATCTAACAGCACATAGCCGACTGTTGATGGGGATCTAATCGATTAGTGCTGCCTCAGCTCTAGCGCTTAGTGCGACACCAACGCCAGCAAGACCAGACGAAGATGCCACAGGGACCCCGGATAAACGCACATTAAACAAGCTTTTTGAAGCGACAGATGGAGAGCGAACTTGTGGCACTTCATCAGTCTTGAATACGGGTCTCGGACAGACAACAAACGTCGATATTGAGACTTTCCAAAGACATAGCCAGCCCCATCTGTTGTCCGACCTGCATAAGTGCGCGAACGTTGAAGGCAGCCAGTTTGAATGGTGCACGTGGTTTCAGAAAAACTGCTTCAGTATTCGTATTTGGTGGTAACATACAATTTTTAACCAGGCAGTGAATCGAGAACGTTCAGATAGAACCGAGTTCCCACTATAGGCGAGCTGCTGTATAAGTCGAAAAATAGGAATACATAAAGTGGGAATAAAAGAGAGTGAGTAAATGACGTAGTAAATAATAATAATAATGTGAATCGTTTGACTGTAAATCGAAGCGAGAATAGAATTTTCAATAAATATTGTCATTTTCATTTTATTCGAAAGGGAGAGTTGACTCCCCACTCTCGATCGAACCAGGGTATTTTGGGGCATGTTAGGTACATAAGCGTTTTTAGATTTGCATACAGTAATTGCTTCATTTCAGATAGATGAGTCACTGCCAGATCTATGAAACTTACGAAAGCTTAGTACTTATTGACCTGGACATACTGACTACTTTTATGCTTTAGCATATGAATCAAGAAACGGTTGGTCATTCCTAAGGTTGTGCCACAGGCATTGTGCCATCAAGCACTAGTTATAACGAATCGAATCATTAGAAATAAACATTTATTTTGTTTTGAAAACTTATTAGTAAACTGGTTATTTCGATTCTTTGTGTTATAGATTAAGTCGGGTTAAAGTGTCTCTTATCTAGTTACTATTTTTCCTACTTATATCACTTCGACTACTTCATGAGGTTGGGAGATTACTTTGATTAACCAAAGTGAAACCCTATCAAGTCACAAACTCACTGACATCTATTTTTACTTATGTCTTGGTTTTTACTGGTAAAGTCTGTAGTTGTAATCCAACCATACATTTCCTTTTGTTTATTATCTGAAGATCTTGTTTATTGTTTTCGATTCTTCGTTTTAAGTTTCTTGGTTTTGTCATTAACTCACTAGGTTTCTCTTCTATTATGCTAATGATAATTGTAATAGCCGAGTATGTAGTCACAACAATTCCTATATTGCTTCCATGTAAGTTGATTGTCTTCATTTAAAACTAGCTCTATTTGGAGAGTGTGTTAAAAATCACTTTAAAGATACCCAACATCTAAACCCATCATTCTCATTCGTGTTAGTAAACGACTGCATTTCCTAATACATTACAGGCTCTCCACCGTCCGTGCCGTTGCAATCAGTATATTTTGCACATATCTTCCATTCTTGGATATTCCAGTATTTTGGCCGATACTAGTAATGTATTTTATAATGTTGTTTGCTATTATGATGAAGAAGCAAATTAAGGTTTGTTTTATCACTTTTTATAATATTTACTTATGTGCAGTTAATATTGCCTATTTGTTTAATCCACTATTCGTCCTATCAGTTTGTTTTAAGTTTTATAACTCCATTGAGTTTCACGTGGAAAACTTCAGATATCAAATGCTAACTTTTCGTTACCTTTTATTATATTGTTAGGTGCGATATTCAGGTTTTGTAGATCAGTTCACGTACTGTGGCGATGACTATTTTACCCTCAGGTTCCACAGAAGAATATATACATATGTGTTTGTTGATAATGTTCCATAGTATTGTTCTATTCATATATTGAAAAGCTTTTCAAACTCTAATTATTTAAGAAAGACCATTTACCCCCTATTTCTTGATAACTTAACGCGTTAAAAGTTCGAGTAGCCGGATTAGAGTTTCACTCCGTGTGATGGTTAGTAATGCTACCCGACCTTCGAAATTGAAGTAGATAGATTGAAGTTTAAACCTGCGACCTAATGGTTAGAATTTGGTTACTTTGGTTATAGAGCCACCATTTCAATAATCTGCTGTTTGCTATTTCATTTCAGCCACTCAGTTCTAGTCATCATAGAACCTGGCACAAATGTACATTTCCCTAAGCTGCCACACTACTTCAATATAGCAAAATAAAATTAATAATTGGCGAATGGGTAGTGTTAGTATTAATGATAAAATAATTAAATATGGTTCCAAGAAAAGAAACAAAATGAGAAAATTAAAAGTATTCACTGATATTGAGAATATTCAAACGAAATCAATGAATAGAACTTTATCCTTTATATACTATGATACAATCAGGTCACTCAGGATTAAAACTGAATCAGTACACCAGTATCCAACGTATAAATAAAAAGACTACCTCAGGTACTCTATTGTCAGTTAGTACCTGTTGTATGCTTCAGTTAATTCATTCGGACAATTGGTTCACAAAATGAGATGTCAACTTATTGTGTGACTGTTTGCATTTAACGACAGTCAAATTCAACTACGGATGGCTACGTTAATTGTAACATTTAAAAGGTACTGACAACTTGTTCTTGTTCTTCTCTGTCAAATACATCACTCAGTCCATCATTATTTATTCCATTGCTTTATAAATATGTAACATTTAATCATTTCTGTTGCTTGTTTGACTTTTTTTCTTTTGTACGATACAGCATATGATCAAATATCGCTACGTTCCATTTACTTATGGGAAACCGAGACCTGTCGGATCAAACAATAAGGAACAAGCATCTCCTGTGATTAACTCATGACATATAGTTATAAATAAGTTGTCTTCTTATCTCTCTAAATCACTGTGCTTCTTCATCTTTTGTTCATTTTCGGTATTTGTACATAGTTGTTTTGATCTTATCTTTGACTGTATATGAAGTTTTGATTGTATTTTTATGCTTTAAAAGAGGATGTTGATTACTGAAAACTAAATTGTCTTTGTTCTAAATCACGTAGTTTGTATATTTCTTTTTGTCGTTGAAAAATCTCTTGTTCTTTTCTTGAATAAATTTTAAAGCACAAATCCAGATATTTTCATTTTACATAGGTATGTACGGTAACTTCGGTAACCGAAGTTGTGATACCTTTGTTTTACACATTTCAAGATACTTTACTCCTATCTTTTAAATACCCTCTATTTATGGCAATATACTTGTTCCATCTCTTCCTCCATTGTTCTAAGCATCTTTTGCGATCCTCGAAAGTCAAACCCTTCCAGCTATCTCCTTTTCTGTTTTATTTTCTTTACATCGTTTTCATTCCCCCATTTTCACAGTCGTCTTGGATTTCAGGAATAAAAGCCCTAAGTCTAGTGAATAGAGTAATCGAAATATATAATGGGAACTTACGGTCAGTCACTGCTGATTGTCCCGACAAATGGCCGTATTACTGGTGTCCATCAGGATCAGATAAATTACGAATATTTTTCTTAGCATTTCATTTCCTGCTTTATTATTATTAGTTATTATGTCCATAAATAACAATCTTAGTAACTTTATTCATATATTCACTGGATAGACTATACGTTCCATCAGTTTAACCAGTTCAGATTAATTAAGATTCATTTCACTACTGATAAGTTAATTGTACAGAGATGGTATTAATTCGTGATTGTTACCGTTTAAGTTCGTACATTACTGTACATTGGTTACACCATTTTCTTGTAATGTGACAGTCATTTTGTTATTGGGCATCAACGTCTTTCTGTATCTATATTTTGATTATATAACTCGTAGTTAGCCTCGAAACTAAGCTGCTAGCTCGCTTAATGGAATCATGTTATTGACATGGTCCTGAAATCGTGTCTCAAGTTGAATTTCACTCAGTCACATGTCGTTATACCATGATCATAATAATGGAGAGTAATAATGGAAGCCTGTTACTCCTCGTGAAGGAGCATAGGCCGCTCACCAGCATTCTCCATCCAACCCTGTCCTGGGCAATCCTTTCTAGCTCCGTCCAGTTGTTATTCATCCTTTTCATATCTGCTTCTATAATCCGACGCAATGTGTTCTTTGGTCTTCCTCTTTTTCGCTTCCCTTCAGGATTCCAAGTTAGGGCTTGCCTCGTGATGCAGTTTTGATGATTTGCATAATGTATATCCTATCCATTTCCATCGTCTTTTACTAATTTCCTCTTCATCTGGAGGCTGGTTTGTTCTCTCCCACAGAAGGCTATTGCTGATGGTATCCGGCCAGTGGATGTTGAGTATCTTGCGTAGACAGCTATTTATAAATACTTGCACCTTCTTGATGGTGGTTGTTGTAGTTCTCCAAGTTTTAGCTCCATACAGTAGAACTGCCTTGACGTTCGTATTGAAGATTCTCACTTTGATATTGGTTGACATTGGTTTTCCCCTTGTTTATGTTGTTGTCTACTGATGCAGAGACTGTTGATACACCGGCTGTCTTTATCTGCATTTGTTCGTGTGTATGCGGTAGGAGGGCTGGGTCATCTGTGAAGTCCAAATCGTCCAATTGGTTCTGAGCTGTCCATGGTATTCCATGTTTTCTCTCAGATGTCGAGGTCTTCATAATCCAGTCGACCACCAGAAGAAAGAGGAAGGGAGAGAGTAAACAGCCTTGTCTGACTCCAGTCCTTACTTGGAATGCATCTGTCAGCTGTCCTCCATGCACTACTTTGCACTGTAGTCCGTCGTATGAGTTCCGGATAATGTTGACAATCTTCTCAGGAACTCCGTAGTGTCGAAGAAGTTTCCATAATGTCCTCCTATCTACACTGTCGAATGCCTTTTCATAATCAATGAAGTTGATGTATAGTGATGAGTTCCACTCAACTGATTGTTCGACGATGATCCGTAGTGTTGCAATTTGGTCTGTGCACGACCGATCCTTACGGAATCCAGCTTGTTGATCTCGAAGTTGGGCGTCTACTGCATCCTTCATCCGGTTCAGCAACACTCTGTTGAAGACTTTCCCTGGTATTGACAGTAGTGTAATGCCTCTGTAGTTTTCACATTTGCTCAGATCTCCTTTCTTTGGAATCTTGACGAGGTGTCCTTCTTTCCAGTCCATCGGCACTTGTTCCTCCTCCCAAATCTTTTTGAATAGAAGGTAAGCATGCTTGTGGTTGCTTCGATGTCTGATTTCAGTGCTTCAGCTGGTATGTTGTCGGGTCCTGCTGCTTTCCCGTTCTTGATTTGTCTGACGGCCATTCTAATTTCTTCCGTCGTTGGTGGGTTGACATCTATAGGAAGATCTATGTGTGCTGCTTCGATGTCCGGTGGATTCATTGGAGCCGGCCTATTCAGGAGTTCCTCGAAGTATTCTACCCATCTGTTACGCTGTTGTTGAATTTCGGTGATTGGCTTGCCTTCTTTGTCTTTGACCGGCCTCTCTGGTTTACTGTATTTCCCTGCTAGTTTCTTCGTTGTATCGTGAAGCTGTTTCATATTTCCTTCTCTAGCAGCTTTTTCTGCCGTCGTTGCTAGTTCTTCCACGTATTTCTTCTTGTCGGCTCTAATGCTCCTCTTCACTTGTTTGTTTGCTTCTATGTATTCAGCTTGTGCTTGGACTTTCTCTGCTCGTGTTCGGCTGTTGTTAATTGCTGCCTTCTTGTTCTTCCTTTCTTTGATCTTGTCCAGTGTTTCTATAGAGATCCATTCCTTATGATGGTGTTTCTTTAGGCCCAGAACCTCTTGACACGTTGAAGTTAATGCTTCCTTGATGCCTTTCCAGTTGTCCTCCATACTAGTTTCTTCTTCTTTCAGTAGATCTTGTAAGGCTTGGAACCTGTTGTTGAGAGCTATCTTGAATTCATTGAGTTTGTCAGTATCTCGAAGGAAGGCTGTATTGAACCTTTGTAGTGCTGTTTGTCCACTTGTCCAGTTCTTTTTTAGCTTCAGTTTTAAATTGGCTACAACTAGGTGGTGATCTGAAGCTACGTCAGCACCTCTCCTGGTTCTCACATCTTCCATTGTCCTTCGGAATTTTTTGTTGATGCAAATATGATCTATTTGGTTCTCTGTAGTGTGGTCCGGTGAGATCCATGTAGCCTTGTGTATACGCTTGTGTGGAAATATTGTGCCTCCTATGACCAATTTGTTGAATGCACATAGATTTGCAAATCTTTCTCCCAGTCCATGTCGTCCCATAATATCTTCATATCCAGTGTTGTCTATTCCGACTTTGGCATTTAGATCTCCCATCAGAATAGTTAGGTCCTTTCTTGGGCATTTCTCAATGATTGACTGCAGCCGCTCGTAGAACTGATCTTTAATGTCGTCGTTGCTATCATTGGTGGGTGCATAACATTGGATAATATTCATTAAGATCCCCTCCTTCTTTGTTTTGAATGATGCTTTGATGATTCTGGATCCGTGAGACTCCCATCCTACAAGTGCATTTCGTGCTACTTTGGACAGCATAAGAGCGACTCCCTGAGTGTGTGGAGCATTGTCCTCTTCGTGACCGGAGTATAGCAGCATCTCTCCCGTAGCTAGCCTTTTCTGTCCAGCTTGGGTCCAGTGGGTTTCGCTGATTCCCAGTACTGCTAAGTTGTATCTCCTCATTTCCATTGCTATTTGACTGGTCTTCCCGGTTTCCCACATTGTTCGAACGTTCCATGTACCTATAAAAATTTTTGCTCTGGTTGTTAGAAGGGGCATCGGCCTCGTGGCTTCCGAAGGAACTCGGCTTTCACCATGAAGCGTCATAATTCTTCTAACTGAAGACCTTCTAACTCCCAGGGCAGAGTTTAAATGGTTTGAATAATTTTTTCTGGTAAGCGTTTTTTTAGCGAGTTAGTTTTCTACGGGATGGGGACGCTAACCCCATGCCCAACCCTCCTCCTTTACCCGGGCTTGGGACCGGCAGTAACCCTATAAGGGCTACAGGTGGAGTTATACCATGATTAGTCACAATTCAGTATTACTCGGCTTCTGGAGATCTCCCGAAAAAACAAGTACGTGAAGTCTCCGCATCCAATTATACCGAATCGTCCCTCAGTTGAGTTACCTTTTTGTAGCTGATGCATACAGCAAGTGGCCATAAATTTTTCTCATGGAACGGCCTGTAAGCTTCGCAGTCAAAAGGCTACATCAACTTTTCAGTCGTTTCGTGGTTCCAGAATTAATAGCTAGCGACAATGGAACACAGTTTACGCCTACTACTTCAGAATTTTGTCGGGTGGATGGAATCACTCATCTCTAAACATTTTCATCCCCAATCCAATGGCCAAGTTGAATGCTTTGTTAGTAGATTTAAAGATGTTCCGGATAAATCAAGAGATTTTGGAGAGGTTCTTGCTTATCTTTCGTTCTACACCAAATCCTCAAACGATCAACGGGGTCTCTCCAATAGAAGCTTTACTCAGGAGAAAAACACGAACAAGTTCGTCTGATACCAGCTCTTGAGCCTCAACGGAACGGATCTATGGGGATCCGATCCCATCGACATCATGAGGTACAAAGACAATTATTCGCTGTCGGTCAAAAAGTACTTGCTATGGATTATCGCTGCGCACATCCTACATGGACAGCTGGTCGAATCCTGCAAAAGAAATGTAATGTTGTTTACGGAGTCTCAGTTGACTCAGAAGTTTGAGTTCGTCATACTGACCAACTAAAAGCAACGGAATCCGGTATAGAATACTTCTCGGCTGGTCATCTCTTAGCCAATCAGCGGTATCGGATACTTGGAGAAGACTAAAATCTTGTGTAAAAATTATAAATATACTAGCGTTTTTATTGTAATTCGTACTTCTATTCAACCTTCTTTATTTGGAGTATAATTACGTTCTTGTTCAACTGTGTTCTGATTTGGGGACTTGTCGAGTGAAGTAAACTGTCCAAAGAATACTAAGCAATAGGAGTAACTGAGTCGTAATAAGAGATCATAACAGCAGGCTTGCCATACTTTCTTGCTGTATGTCAGTATCATATTTTATCCTGGGTGCGTGTTAACCATTACGTCCAATACTTGACACCCAAAGGATAAAATATTGGTGAATTTTATTCCACTCTGTTGAACTTTTTAGTAGGACTTGTTTTAGGGTAGTGATACTTAACTATCCTCAATGATATAACGGCTGTTCATCTTTATTTTTGCGGTTAGTTTGTTATCTCAAGAATACTAAACTACATTGGTGTAAATAAAATTACTCAGCCTAATTATGCTTTTCGTGTTTAGTTTACTTTTTTAATTAGACAATGTATACTAATGAAGTTTATTGATAAAGGACATAAGCGTTACTCACCTACACTGTTGCGCCTCGTGAGCCATAGGCCGTCGACCGGGGACCTGCCTCCCAGTTTTTAATAAGTGCTATTTATTATCTTGATGTCTGCTTCTGATTCCCAATGCTTTTTCTTTTGCCTTAAGGATCCCGAGTTAACGCTTGCTTTGTAACGCAGCCCAATGATTTCCGTAATATTTGAGCTATCCACCTCCAGTGTCTTTTCCAAATTCCCTTATCAACCGGAAGTTGGTTTGTTCGTCCTCAGAGCAGGGTTCTGCACGTAGTCCTCCCAAACCCGGATAAAAGAGGGTTAGACATGTAGTTAGTAATGACATCCTCTGGAAAATAATGCTAGAGGATCTAATCTGTTACTATCAAGTTTAAAATAATGGTTTGTCTTCGAAATAATTAGTTATATCAACCATTATTTGATAACTGGAGTCCAACGTAGTGTGGGAAGGCCTAAAAGGATGTTATAAGACTATGATAATCTTCAATCAAAAGCTGTGGCCAATAAAGCAGAAGAACAGACGGCGGAGATAGCGTTTTATATTTTCAACAACCTTGGTAGTATATATATATATATATATATATATATATATATATATATATATATAACCAAACAATTTTATCCGTTTCTTTACCATTGATACAAAGAAACGATAGATATTGAATATAAATGTGGTTACATATAAAGTGTGACAAATAAGAAAAAACGGTTTTTACTTTGTCGTTACAAAAATCACTGAATGTACATGTCACAATAATCTATACCACTGTACTTTTATTATTGTTTCGCTTGTATGAACATGTATGCTTGAGTATTGCTTACCGCTTATGCACATATTCATCCTGCTAGCTTTAATGTTAGTCGCTTAAATGATATGACGATACATTCATTTCTCTATGTATATATGTACATTTTAATCCTGTTCCTTCAACCTGATCTACACAACCAAAGGAATTAGACAGAATAGAGATCGAATCAAAAACTTATTTACTAGTGAGGCATTGACAATCCACCAATTCAAGTCTGAACTCTGCGTGCAAACTTCATACGTCTAATCTCTCATCCTTCCTTGGCCCTAATTTCCTTCAGTAGTATATTTTGGGTTTTTTAAATGTTTCGTAATTTTAAACCGTAATCAGTTATTATTACCTTTAAACAGTTTTTCATGATTGTTATTCAGCTTTTATTATTATGATACTTATGTTTGTCGTTTTTCTTCATAACTGTCAAGTGGACAATCATTTTTCGTAATTTTGACCAGTAAAATAATTTCCATCCTTATATTCTCCTTTTACCCGTTGATGATTGCGTAACCTCATTTGATAATAAGTCTTGAATCAGTTTAAGTAAATGATTTCGTCGATAAAGGAAGTTTCTTTTCTGAATTCTCTTTTTTACCCAGTGATACAATGCGTTATTTTAACTATCCCATTTACATAAGAAATTAATCCTATTAATATTACCAATCCACGATATTGCGCGACCACTCATGATCTCAACCAAAACTCAACGATCTCCACAGTCCTATACTGATAATTATCATGTGCTCACTAGTGTCTAGGTTAAAGATGGATTTCCTAGAGTTCTAGTGATGAGCCGTGACCAGTGCAGTTCAACGTGTCTGGTGTGAAACAGTTACTCACTGGAAACAATAGAGGATGGTCGTGTAATATCAACTTAGACATTAACACCGTTGGATGCCAGCTCAGTGGTCTAGAGGTTAAGCGTTCGCACGCAATACCGCAGATCACGCGTACGGGATCGGGCATGCAAACTGCTGAAGAGTCCCAGACCAGGACAAAACGGATCTCCAGGTCTTCATTTGTGGTTTAACATTAGTCAATTCATGGTCACAATTAAAACAGAACTTCTTCCATTTTTTTGTATTTTACTTGGAAGAGGTACGAAAATAGTATGACAATGATTGTATATACACTCAAGACCATGCAAAGAATCAAATGTAGACTTTTTAATATAGCGGCAAGTTCATTAATTATATGTTCCCGACAGTCTGCACTTCCGGATTCAGGCAATTGATAATATTAAGATAGCACCATTCTTTACTATTAGTAAAATATATCGCAATATTATTATGATTTAGTCCCAACGGTTACGTCATCTAAACAAAATCCTAAAAGCTGTTCTGAAACTAGGTCAATGACTAGTGACTTAAGAATGTTTTCGTATTATAATTCTAACTTGGTTGATCTATTTATTAGTGTTAACACATGCAGCGACGTGTTGAGAGGTAATGGCATGCACAACCAATACATAATTCTAGATTTTTCAAACTGTTTAGGTTTACGTACAAAGAAATAGTAACAAAATGATTTTCCTGTCGAACTCTGAAAACCTTTTCTCATAAAATCGGTTACAAGTCAAAATATTTGAATCACAAGTAAGATAATATGATTTAGATACATTTGCATTCGGAACTACTAATCATAACAATTCATTTTCTTGTTTTCAGAATCTAGCAAGAAAACGTGTTATAAACATTATCCTTGAATCAAAATGCGCTTCACTCTGAGGACTGAATTTATATCAGTTCAAACTTTATTGAGGAAGGTATGCTTGATTAAAAAATATGTTTCCATACACTCTTGTACTGTTTACGTGCTAGCCTTCAGGAGTAAATAAACTACTATTGAAAAATAATAAAAATATACTTTTTTAAATCAAATTCTCACTAAATTTTGTGTGATAAAAATATTTAGATTACTCAAAGAAATATGAATTAATCCCGTATGTTGCCAAAATGAACGAAACTTCAATGTCGAGTCATCTAGACTAGTGGCCACATTGCAACTTGGTCGATAGCATTCGATCTGCACTAAGAAGGACCTGACACACATGACACTGACCATCACCCAGTGATCAATCAGTTACAAAACTTCATTCCTAATTTATGCACTTTCTTTGAGCATCATTCATTCCTAACAGTAAAAATTTCAAACATGTTATTGTTCTGCTTTTAAACCATTCACTCTACAAATACCGTTTCCAAAAGTTGAGTACTATTGTTAGAGGGATGAATTTTGCCTAGCCGATAACTAAACAAAATATGTAATTCGAAAACAATAAACAAGATGATACACCAGAGCCGATACTTCCAAAATTAGTAAAACTGACTACACAGACAATCACTGAGAGAAATTGCTGTCATACGATCTCAAGATAAAGTATGAACTGATCATATATAGTATCGGACAATACAAGCAACCAGATATTTTCTATACTCATCAACAATAGGATTAGATAATGGCATTAAAGTGACTAAAACAGACTCCTTAATTTGGTAACAAACATGTTATCTTACCATATTCTCAGGAACCCATCGGTATCAAACGGTTGAAATCCTATGATGAAAATGTCACTTAGACGACCTGGTATGTCATGAGAGATAGAAAACCTCCAAAATATATTTTTAATTTTTGCTCGTCATTATATCAAAAAGGTTTTTGTTGCCACTGAAGTTTCGTAAATGTCTCAAATACCTAAAGGAAACGCCTCAAACATAATACAACTTAACAAAAAGTAGTTGAAGTTTTCATACATAATATGATCAACCCCTGCGTATCCAGACGAATAAATAGTTACCTCTAAAAACATACTTAATGGAGTTTCCAGCAAAAATGGAGAAATGGACAGATCTTTTAAATAAGTAGGTTTTCTACTCCACGGGAAACAAACTTTTGGATATTTACATAACTATACTAAGGGAAGAATTATTAGAATATATGGCCAAAACATTATCGACGAGGCCTGAGCTTTTTCGATTCAGTGTTTGTAAACCTAACCATTCATTCACGACAAAAACGTTAACGTATGTCACAAACGACGAATACAGAAAAATTCATCTTGACACATGGATTTCATTAATGTTACACGTCAACGATCAAGAAAATTTAGCAATATTGCAACAATATTAAAGGCAGATTAATAAAACAAATAAGGTCAGAGTTTTTATTTAAAAATTGATTATGTATGTACACAAGAAATAACAATCCAGAAAAAAGTGAGAAAATAATGGTTAGTGGGGGATTCGCATTACAAATGAACAAGTGTATCGATGCCAGGTAAAGTGATATCAAATATGGAATATGACATCCAAATTGTTGTTTACTATTGCTGTTAATTATTTCGTCAGCTTCTTTCTATAATAAAATAAACACAATTCACTTTGAAACATATAAAAATATACTACTGAGTGATATAAGTAGTTGAAAACAAGTTACAAAAATGGATTAAATGATCATATGATTTAAATGGATGCTTTGTACTCTTAATCCGAGATGCACTATTCGTGAATCTAAACTCAATTATTTACAAAAAATTCGAATTATCCAAACTAGATTATTATCATATAAACAGGTGGAATAGAAACTGTATGACAAAATTTATCAAACGGATATTTACTCGTTTGAAAATTTAAATATTCAGTTGGTATTAGTTGGTTGAAATGGAGACTTTGAACATGGATTACGACTTAAGAGCTACTAACGATTTAGTCAAGTATAACTCATGCTGAATGACTATATGATAATATTGAGGTAATTTATTCATGGTCTGAATAGACCAATAGAGATTGATCAATTGCAAACCTTAACATCAAAAACAGAAAGATACAAACCGAGACAAATAATGATAAGAGCTAATGTGTAACTGTTCCAGTTGGACCGAAAGTGATGCCTTATTAAGTTAAAGGAATTTAATGATTACGTTTCAAACAGTACACCAATTAAACAATGTGTATGAGAGTAGATACGTAGTCACATAATGATAAAATATAAATGTAGGTTAAAAAATTTAATCACTTTCCAAGCAGTTTACAAACGTGACTACATATGATATCCTACTAAAGTGTATAGATAAATAAAATTGTATCTGCTGAATTCACAACTCATAAGACAATTGCCAAATTGTTTTCTCAAAAAAAACATTACTCATGAGTAACTATTACTTTACCACACAACTCTCATGTTTAATTTTACTGATTGACGTAATCATAACCCAATCGACGAACATTGAAGTCGTTACTTTTTCTTTGGTCTCCCCTAACCATTAATTGTTTATTGACAGTCTTATTACTTTATATGTAATACTGGAGAAGCATACGACATCCATCAGGATTCACTAACCAATTTTATCCTAAGCTCTTCTTTCAACTGTTGTCAAGTGCTGTTCTTCTTTTTTTTTAATGTCTTGCTTCAATTCCCATCCCCATTTATCCTTTAATCTACCTCTTTTTCTTTCGACTGGGGGATTCCAAGTTAGGTCTTGTCTAGTGATGCAGTTTGATGGTTTCCGTAATGTGTCCTATCCATCTGCAGCGTCTTTTCCTAATGCCCTCTTCAGCGGCAAGTTGGTCTGTTCTCTCCCATAGTACGTTGTTTCTGATGGCATACGATTAATCGACCTGGATTATCTTGCATAGACAGCTGTTTGATAGTTGTCGTAATGCTTGAGGTCTCAACTTCGTACAATAGAGCTGTTTAAACGTTAGTGTTTAAAATTCTGACTATGATGTTGTCTGACAGTTGTCTTGAGTTCAATATGTTATTCACTTGTAGACGTACTGCCATCACTTTGTCAATCTGTGTCTTCACACCTACTTTAAAACCCTCTTGTTTATCAATGATACTGCCCACACATGTGAAAGTTTCCACCTTTTTCAGTGCACCATAATGCTGAAGGAGGATCTATAAGGTTCTCCTATCCACGTTGTCAAATAATTTCTCGTAGTCAAGGAAGTTGATGTATGGTGACGAGTTCCACTCAATTGACTGCATAAGAATAATACGTAGTGTCGCGATTTGGTCCGTGCACGATCGACCCTTACGGAAACCAGCCTGTTGATCTCGAAGTTGGATATCTATTGAATCTTTCATTCAGCTCAACACCATTCTGTTTGAAACTTTTCCTGGTACTGATAGTATTGTGATGCCTCTGTTGTTCTTGCAACTGTTGTAATCACTTTTCTTTGGCTTCTTAATGAGGTATCTTTCTTTCAAAATATAAGGTTTGGTTACAGTTGGAGAAAGTGAAAAACAACTGGTCACTCAATTGACGACTTGTAGTTTCATTGTTTATTTATCTGTTCTGTTACGTGAAAAACAGCTCATATATATAATTTTCGTTATATTGTATTTACATACATGATATTTTGAAGTCGCCAAATATACCCAGTAAGTAGGTCAGGGTTGTTTTCACACTTAGGTCGGACGAGACAGTCCCATTGTGGTGTGTGCTACTGATGTCGACAGATATAAGTAGTATGTATCATCAGTCGAAAGTGCAATGTCTGGCAGCAGATGGTTAATAAGATCTAAGAAACGAGAACGAGAACAGAGAATGATTACTGTGGAAATGAAAGAACAGTGAAGTCTGAGCCGATTGATTGACATTTTGCGAATCAAGTATTTACTATGTGGTTCTAAGATTTTACTAAGACGCTCTGTAATTTTGTGTTCAAATACATTTGGTTGTCTCCGCCATCATTAAAGTAATTAATCAAACCAAAAATGCAACGAAAACACGTATCCTAACATGAATTAACTTACACAGCTGCATTTTTTCCACTCAAAATTACATAAGGCATTGACATCGCTTCTAGTTTTTTATTCAGTTTGTTCACTGTTCCCAGTGGAGTATCTGAACTGGTGCTGGCTTTAAGAAGCTAAATCCATAATAGAAAGAAAAGAATATTTTATTATTTTCAAAAATTAAAATAGTGAAAACAACTTGAAAGACGAGATGTTACTTCGTAAAACAAATACTAAGTACATAAACTTGAAATGACATTGAGGAAAATACGAACTTGGATTAAAAATCAATCAATTCGATACTAAAGTTTCTCTTAAGCTGTGGCACAGAGAGATCTAACAAAATATATCACTTTATAATGACTCAGAAGAATTAAAAAAACTTCAACATTTTAAACAGTAAAATGAAATAAAATCTAATATTTGAAGTTTTACATTACAGGCTAAATTTACTTAGATGCCCACTGAAACCAGGAAGCACTGAATATCTATTTCGTCCTACTATGTAACTACACCAAGGATCGAACTAAAGGCCTCCAAGCCTCTTGACAAGCGTCCAAACTTCAGAAAACTGAGCTGGCATCCAATTATATGCAAGTATTGCATGACCCATTATCCATTGCCATTAGTAATATTTGACTGACAACCGACATGGTTGAAATCCAATGCTTAATGCTTCTTAATAGAACTCTAAGAATTACCTCTTGAATTTAGTCCCTAGTCACCACAGAATGGTTGTTGAATTTGAAATTATCTTTGTAAACATCCCTGTTTTGAACAGCTTTTCTCCAAAGAGGTAAACTTTGCGGAAAAGTAGACACTTCGCTAGTTATAATATTTACAAAACTCCTGTCCTTAATAGCTAGTGATTTTTTACGGTTTTTAGCATAAAACGGTAAGAAACTTAAACATTTTTGACTATTTTATATATTAAGTGAAACGGATAGTCTACACCTTTACTATAACAATTAATAATATGTTATGGAGGTCTATTGAAATCTAAGACTACTACAAAGTTGAGAGCGATGCTATGATTAATTTGTTGTTAATCGACAAATTAACCCCCTCATATAAAATCTTTTAGTGTTCGGAGAATCACTAATCCAACTCGTTTCAGAATTTTTTTATCGTTTGACTATTTAAGAACAAGCTTTATTTTTAACAACTAATCTCGTATCTATATTCCAAGGTCATATAAACAGTATAAAACCAGTAAAACTGTTTGTATAATGACCTTTTCTAGAAACATTAAAAAGTCTCCTGTAAATCTCTTTCTTAATCTCCAGGGATCGTTGGGTATCTTTAATGTAGTTCTGTAATGAAAAGACAAGTATGTCGTAAAATATCATTATATCTCAACTATTTTAATATTTGGTTCGCTTTATAAAATTTCACTTAACCAACTTGCAAATTTAAATGACGTAAATTTTCAATTTTTGGTGAGGAGCAATCCATAAGGGACTTTTACTAAAATTTGGATCTGGAAATAGATTCGTCAGCAAGTACAACTTAATTCTGAAAGTTGAAGTACTAAAAACAAAATAGCAGTTGGATAAACTGGAATATTTATTTCTTCTTTATATAATCCCGTTGAACATCAACCGTCAACATCTGATGCACTTTAGTGTTCAAACACATAACACACACATTTTTTAATCGTGAATTTTTGTGCGAAAATAAGTTTCTCATTTAGTCTCACTACCGCTTTTATCTACCAACATTATAGAACATGACGATAGATCAAAAACTATTTTTCTTAAAATTTCTTAGGTATTTGTATTTTAAGTAGTGTGCTTAGTTCCGAAAAATATGTTGCTATGAAATTCACTCACAACTGCCAGTTAAATATTTAACCAGATATAAACAAATAGGAACCTGAAATAAATATACCTCGACAAAATTGCCATGTCTTACATCAGCACAGTCAGACATGAAATTAACAAGATGAAGAGCAAATGACTCAACTGAATGCCACACATCCAAGATTCCATAACTTAAAATGCTGATACCATGTTTTTTTTTGCCACACCTAGTCTTCAACCAACGTATTATCATGCATTTAGTGTAAAAAACATGTTCGAAACCAAATCAGTGGACGAAAGTCCGTAATATTATTACCCGATTTACTATCTCTACCTAGTATCTAATAGGTCACACCAACGCCGCGGTTAAACCATGTATATTTAGTGATAGGAATACAAGCATAATCGAGTACCACCAATTTTATATCAAGCTATGAACAATATTAACTCCGCCTGTAGCTCTAATAGGGTTACTGCCGGTCCCAAGCCCGGGTAAAGGAGGAGGGTTGGGCATGGGGTTAGCGTCCCCATCCCGTAGAAAACTAACTCGCTAAAAAAACGCTTACCAGAAAAAATTATTCAAACCATTTAAACTCTGCCCTGGGAGTTAGAAGGTCTTCAGTTAGAAGAATTATGACGCTTCATGGTGAAAGCCGAGTTCCTTCGGAAGCCACGAGGCCGATGCCCCTTCTAACAACCAGAGCAAAAATTTTTATAGGTACATGGAACGTTCGAACAATGTGGGAAACCGGGAAGACCAGTCAAATAGCAATGGAAATGAGGAGATACAACTTAGCAGTACTGGGAATCAGCGAAACCCACTGGACCCAAGCTGGACAGAAAAGGCTAGCTACGGGAGAGATGCTGCTATACTCCGGTCACGAGGAGGACAATGCTCCACACACTCAGGGAGTCGCTCTTATGCTGTCCAAAGTAGCACGAAATGCACTTGTAGGATGGGAGTCTCACGGATCCAGAATCATCAAAGCATCATTCAAAACAAAGAAGGAGGGGATCTTAATGAATATTATCCAATGTTATGCACCCACCAATGATAGCAACGACGACATTAAAGATCAGTTCTACGAGCGGCTACAGTCAATCATTGAGAAATGCCAAGAAAGGACCTAACTATTCTGATGGGAGATCTAAATGCCAAAGTCGGAATAGACAACACCGGATATGAAGATATCATGGGACGACATGGACTGGGACAGAGAAACGAAAATGGAGAAAGATTTGCAAATCTATGTGCATTCAACAAATTGGTCATAGGAGGCACAATATTTCCACACAAGCGTATACACAAGGCTACATGGATCTCACCGGACCACACTACAGAGAACCAAATAGATCATATTTGCATCAACAAAAAATTCCGAAGGACAATGGAAGATGTAAGAACCAGGAGAGGTGCTGACGTAGCTTCAGATCACCACCTAGTTGTAGCCAATTTAAAACTGAAGCTAAAAAAGAACTGGACAAGTGGACCAACAGCACTACAAAGGTTCAATACAGCCTTCCTTCGAGATACTGACAAACTCAATGAATTCAAGATAGCTCTCAACAACAGGTTCCAAGCCTTACAAGATCTACTGAAAGAAGAAGAAACTAGTATGGAGGACAACTGGAAAGGCATCAAGGAAGCATTAACTTCAACGTGTCAAGAGGTTCTGGGCCTAAAGAAACACCATCATAAGGAATGGATCTCTATAGAAACACTGGACAAGATCAAAGAAAGGAAGAACAAGAAGGCAGCAATTAACAACAGCCGAACACGAGCAGAGAAAGTTCAAGCACAAGCTGAATACATAGAAGCAAACAAACAAGTGAAGAGGTGCATTAGAGCCGACAAGAAGAAATACGTGGAAGAACTAGCAACGACGGCAGAAAAAGCTGCTAGAGAAGGAAATATGAAACAGCTTTACGATACAACGAAGAAACTAGCAGGGAAATACAGTAAACCAGAGAGGCCGGTCAAAGACAAAGAAGGCAAGCCAATCACCGAAATTCAACATCAGCGTAACAGATGGGTGGAATACTTCGAGGAACTCCTGAATAGGCCGGCTCCAATGAATCCACCGGACATCGAAGCAGCACACATAGATCTTCCTATAGATGTCAACCCACCAACGACGGAAGAAATTAGAATGGCCGTCAGACAAATCAAGAACGGGAAAGCAGCAGGACCCGACAACATACCAGCTGAAGCACTGAAATCAGACATCGAAGCAACCACAAGCATGCTGTACCTTCTATTCAAAAAGATTTGGGAGGAGGAACAAGTGCCGATGGACTGGAAAGAAGGACACCTCGTCAAGATTCCAAAGAAAGGAGATCTGAGCAAATGTGAAAACTACAGAGGCATTACACTACTGTCAATACCAGGGAAAGTCTTCAACAGAGTGTTGCTGAACCGGATGAAGGATGCAGTAGACGCCCAACTTCGAGATCAACAAGCTGGATTCCGTAAGGATCGGTCGTGCACAGACCAAATTGCAACACTACGGACCATCGTCGAACAATCAGTGGAGTGGAACTCATCACTATACATCAACTTCATTGATTATGAAAAGGCATTCGACAGTGTAGATAGGAGGACATTATGGAAACTTCTTCGACACTACGGAGTTCCTGAGAAGATTGTCAACATTATCCGGAACTCATACGACGGACTACAGTGCAAAGTAGTGCATGGAGGACAGCTGACAGATGCATTCCAAGTAAGGACTGGAGTCAGACAAGGCTGTTTACTCTCTCCCTTCCTCTTTCTTCTGGTGGTCGACTGGATTATGAAGACCTCGACATCTGAAGGAAAACACGGAATACAATGGACAACTCAGAATCAATTAGACGATTTGGACTTCGCAGACGACCTAGCCCTCCTATCACGTACACACGAACAGATGCAGATGAAGACAGCCAGTGTAGCAGCAGTCTCTGCATCAGTAGGCCTCAGCATACACAAAGGGAAAACCAAGGTCCTCAAATTCAACACGCAGAACAGCAATCAAATCACTCTTGATGGCGAAACTCTGGAAGATGTAGAGTCCTTCACATACCTAGGAAGCATCATCGATGAACAAGGAGGTTCAGATGCAGACGTAAAGGCGAGGATCGGCAAAGCAAGGGTCGCATTCCTACAATTGAAGAACATATGGAACTCAAAACAACTTTCAACCAATATCAAAGTGAGAATCTTCAATACGAACGTCAAGGCAGTTCTACTGTATGGAGCTGAAACTTGGAGAACTACAACAACCACCATCAAGAAAGTACAAGTATTTATAAATAGCTGCCTACGCAAGATACTCAACATCCACTGGCCGGATACCATCAGCAATAGCCTTCTGTGGGAGAGAACAAAGCAACTTCCAGCTGAAGAAGAAATTAGGAAAAGACGATGGAAATGGATAGGACATACATTACGCAAACCGTCAAACTGCATCACGAGGCAAGCCCTAACTTGGAACCCTGAAGGGAGGCGAAAAAGAGGAAGGCCAAAGAACACATTGCGTCGGATTATAGAAGCAGATATGAAAAGGATGAATTACAACTGGACGGAGCTAGAAAGGATTGCCCAGGACAGGGTTGGATGGAGAATGCTGGTGAGTGGCCTATGCTCCTTCACGAGGAGTACCAGGCGTAAGTAAGTAAGTAAGTAATGAACAATATTACGAACTTCTATTTAGAATAAAACTGAAAGTGGGTTGGATTATTTTAACATACGATTGTAAGTTTATAACAAAAAGTGAAGCAGTGAATTATTGACATTTCGATCAAATACCTTCTAAATTAAACCTTTAATTCATAGGTTCAAGGAAATAACCCATTGAGGAAACCACTTACTTAGGCGTGAAAATATGAGGACAATCCCAGCGCACATATATATACACGAATATCGATGAATAATCACAAAATGTTCTACTCGTTCTGACTTATTGGTCCTATAAATGATATTTACAATCAATTAGTTGTAAAATTACTAGCCTTGCAAGCAACAGATACAAATCTGTCTAGCTCAATTTGGTGGGTCAAATAGTATTAACGGTCATGATGTAAAAAAAACATCGCTTTAAATCGAATAGTAAAAAACCTGTAATTGGTAAACATGTTAGTTTAAATTAATAATTAATCCATAAACTTACAAACTCTTCATTGATTTTTTTCATACGTTTCTGTGTTTTATTCTTACCGGAACCCTTTCCATGAAATTTATGACTTAATTGACGAAAAGCTTCTTTAGCACTTAAATCGCGTCCTAGCTCATCAACGTATTCTAATTTAATATCCGGTTTATATTGCGTTAACTCTTTAAAATCTGATAATGGACCAGAGTAACGATCACGCTTGTAAAATTTCGCATCAATATCATCATAGCGTATATCTTCTTGGACAAAGTGTTTAGCCATTAGATTGACCATAGTTCCAGAACCAGTCTAGAAAAACAAAGATAAAAGGAATGGGTATAGATAATAAAAATGGTTAGCTTAAACAACAAATAGAGTTGAGCACTGTTGCGAATATAATATTATGCTTAAAAATTGAAGAGGAATTCGCATCGATTAAAGTGTAAGAAGTTAACTCACTCGTTTCTCTTTTTCTTTATCAATATAACCTTTTTTCTCAGCCAACCGAATGGCTGAAAATACTCCTGAATCCAGACGTGGTTCATCATCTAAAACTCCATGTATATCAGCATTTTCTGCTTTAAAATGTTCCTGCCCAGATTTTTTGACTGTTGGTTTCGGTACTGTTCGAGTCGAATTCCCAAGAATATCATTACCGACAGTATGCCATCGATCGTCTAGAAATAAAAGAAATAAATTTGCTATTCCCGTCTCTATTTATACACATAGTTGACTTTAATGAGCGCTACTTAAGAAAAATACTAAACGACAACATAGAAGCAACACCGCAGAGAGAAATAAACTGTCAATCAGTAATTTAAAACTTGGAACCTGGCACATATGTGTATCAGTTCAAGTTATCACAGCAGATTAGCACATCGGAATGAAACTCATAAAATAGAAAAATAAAGTGAATTGATATAGCAGCAATGATGTTGAGAAAAACTAAGTGTTAAGGAGAGAGCTCGAAACGACAGACTAGCAAGGTATATATGAAGAGGAACTGGAATTAACGATTGATAGAGAAAAAGAGTGGATGTATCTGCACCCTTGTAAACGATTGAGCCATTTCATCCAAGGTCTCTAACCAATTGTTACAACAATTGTGCGGACCCAAAACAGGTAGTTTGAACTTATATACACATCAAATAGTCAGTAACTTAATGGACTTACGTCACAACTTGGTTTGGCCACCCCTAGCTTTCGTTCAGCCTACTCCTATATCAAATAATATCGCGCACCGAGGTAGATGGTTGCAGAGTATAGGTAATATATGTATTCCAATTACTGTAATCAATGGACATGCAGTGCCTCGTCAAACGATACGCGACCCTTACCTAGTACCCTGCCTTAACTCAACATCGCGCAGTCAGTGGTCTCAACATACATCAGCAATGATTCGAAGGCATTTATCATTGAATACTAGTGAACTACGAATATCCCGTATTTTTAAAGGCCACATTTCATTACTATAAGGTAGAAGAGAGTGAACTAATGAAGCTGGTAGACTGATACCTAACCTAAACCACAAGTGGCACAAGTTGGCAAAAATCATACGAGTTTTCTGCGTCCATACGTTTCATCAGGTATCAACTGACTAGGGTTGATCAGACTCCCAAGACAAGTGAAGTGGTTGATGCACTCAACTACTTCACTCGCTATCATTAGCCTAGGGTTGACGCAGATCAGTCCTGAGGCACCATTTTGAATTTAGAGAAAGGAAATCGCATCTCAAACATCACCCAAGGCTATCACAAACTATTTTGTCGATATCTTCACCAAATAGAACTAGGTTATCGGGATATATTAAGTCAACAAGTGAATCTCTTGACATAAGATTGTTTTCTGAAAAGTAAGATGACGGTAGCGTTATCTCCAAAAGAAAAAAACTGCAATCTACCCTCTATTGTTTTATTTGATGATCACACTTCTTTTCCAATGGCTGATACGTAAATTTCTTAAATATTTTTAAAAAATAAACATTCATAGATGAAGTGGAAAATAGAAACTTACTTGATGCTTCCAACTTTGTGTCGTCATAATTTGTATCATAGTCTTCACTTTTCATGCGATAACTACCTTCTGAATCATAATCAAGTTTTCGTTCTTCTTCTTCCTCTTTATACGGCAATCTTGTAGGTGATGAACTCGTATTATCATCATCATTAGTACCAACTGCTCCGCCATTATTCTGTAATCTAGACTGATTTTGTAAGAACTGATTGTAACGAGTATTTCTTTTCATACTTTCTTGAAAACCAATACCAATTGACTTATAAAATTCTGCAGTAGAGTCGAACACAACATTGTCCTTTTTGCTATTATTTGTCAATGTATCAGACGCAAGTGACTGTGACACGGATTCGGATGAATGAGTAGCTATATTTTTTGCTAAGAGTTGTGATGTAATCTTTTGAATGCAAAAAGTATAGCGAGAAGAGAATCAATCTTATCTTAGTTTATATGAAGTAATAGTTAAAAAATGGTTTTTAAATAGACATAGAAATTATTCAAGTGCTGTCATAGCTTAACAATGGATCATATCAATCGTGTTTAACCATGATCACACTGATTTTTAACCGTAATGTAATTCAGAAACACTTGAAAAGTCAATATACTTGGCATTAGTTTGGACACTATTAGCTTGTATTTAGCCTAATTTCTTAAGTCCCATTTATTCATTTTAATATTATACAATCTCTACATTTCACGAAAATGCTGTCATAAAAAAATTGACGTACTTCTTCCGGTTTAGAAACAACCCGTGACTTCGATTGCACGACTCGCCCTATAGTTTTCTCTAATTCACTTCTCAACTCATCTGGTTCATCGATATGATCTGCTGCAGACCAATATTCTTCGTAACTGTCTGAGTATAGGAGAAAAAGAAATTGCAAAACATACATTTGAAATAACTGATTATTTTAAAGCGATCAACAAGTGTTCTGTAGTTTATATTGTGACAAATTGAAACCTAGCATCAGAAAGTAATTATACACATATAATTTCGCTTGTGTAGTACCAACATGAGTTTGCAAGTTGACAAATAGCTAACTCATCCACTTCCAAAACGATAAAAATTATTGGAAAATAATAAGCTTTTTCAAACTTTTAAGTTACTTACACGGGTTTCGGTTTTTTTCCTCAGTGCTTTTTTGGAGTCGTTTCTTTCATCCATTATATATGTGTGTAAACGACATATTAGTGTATGATTTGGGATTTTCCCTAACAACCGTTATTATTCTACAATTTTAGTTCTTTTGTCTAAAAGAGAAGCTGTTAGTATTCATAATACGCATCATTCCCATACCACTGGGTTATATTACTTTTCACACATGTGTAATCAAACTTCGTATAACTCAACTGTTTCGACTAATCGAAAACCGAATCCGTCACGCATTTGCTGACACAGAAGATAAAAAGGTTGGAGCAAGTAACAATAACAACTTTTTACATAAATAGCTATCAGCCTAGCCCTTCTATAGATGGAGACTTAGATTTTTATCACTGTAGAATCACTTGCCCAAAAGTCTACTAAATGAATGATGTGTTAGGATTTGGAATTGTCAAATAATACTCTGCTATAAAAGTTTTTTCAATTTAAGGTAATGATACAATTTTAAGTGTAGAAATATCTTCAGTACATAGTTGTGAAATAACAGTGTTGGTTTCGCAGTTACAGTTGAATGGTGATAGTCGTTTTGATTTTTAGTCTAATTTTTATGACATTACAGGCTATTGAATGCTATAAATGTTTGTATTTATGTTACAAAGTATAGCCTATAGGTTTTTCAGTTAGTTAAATCGATTTAAAATCATAACGATACTAAAATTCATAAGTTGAAAAGTAACATTTAGTATGAAATGTTATTTAAATGTACTTATTAAACTATTAAGGTAACAAAACAGCAAAACATATAATACCTTTGACATCTATTATTTGTGCAGAAAATTCTTCAGCCGGAAACGTGTCATTTGCAGATGGGATGTTACTATTTAAGCGTTTTTCTCTAACTGTTGAACGGCTTCCTAAATCAGAAGACCCTGATTGTTCTGGCAATTCACTCAAAAGTTCATCAGCAGTCAGTGCTTGACGAATAGTTTTGATACGACGTTTACGCTTTTTAAATTTCGCAGCCATTTCTTCCGTACTGTAGTACTCAGAAGCTATACGAAGCTCAGTATCAGGCAACGATTGCTGAAATGGGATTAAAATGATCTATTAACAAACAATGAAACATTTAAGATAAGATGGTGATGCATCCAAACAAACACGGCAATATGTTAAACATTAGAAAAATTTATTAGTATGTACATGAATCTTGAATATATACTTACTCGTCCTTCTTTCAGTTCAGCTTGTAGTTGTTTCAATAAACGCTCATTCTCTGTATTATAAGAGCCATCAGAATTAATAACAAAGTGGTCTTTTTTAATGCCATTAATCTCTGAATCATACTTGCTTAGAACACCTTTAGAGCGTAAACCAAGAAGTACATCCTCATCCACTTCGTCTTCAATTCCTGCCAGACCGGTAGTCTTTCTTATATTTTCTCTATTGACATCAGCTTTTTCATCATCAATTATATTTACATTCACTAAAACGTCTTCAGATTCATCCAAAACACCTAAATTAAAAGGCGAAAATTACAAATATTGAACCTATGATCGCTGCAATGTTGATTAAAATAATGACACAGCGAGGTTAACATTTATGGGGATTGAAACAGATTTCGAATTACTCTCAGTAGAAATAAATTCAGAACCTCCAGTTCACCAATACAGTGAAGTCAAGTTGCGGTGGTTTATAATGAATATTTTTACATGGTACTCATTCTCCGAGAAAAACACGATAGAAGTCAGTAAATTATTCTACACCCGTAATATAGCATAGATTTTAAGTATTTGAGGAATATTTACATTGATCGATACAAAGTAACCTATTATGGAACTCCAGAATGATAAATAAAATAAGCAGAAGTTACTTGTAACACTAATCTGAATCACAACTTATCCGGAGTTAAGACGGAAAAAATTGCAGTAAAAAGTATATCAGCAATAAAACAATGTGGAACACAAGTTTTCGTAAAATATATTTACCACAGGTGGTGTATCAAACTACATATTCAAATAGTTCTTCAAGATCATCCAAGATTCGGTCGATAGTGTCTTTGAGTCATGTACCGGAACCACTGAGAGAGCAGTCGAGAAGCTATACAATATGTTCTAGATGAGGTGAACTAGTTAACGGTGTTATATGTATATAGTGACTGGGATAGTTTAGTCATGTGCTAGGCATGATAAGTCATCACTTACAGTAATACACGATACTTATTAGACTGAAATAAAGTTAGGGATGTCAATAAATCATTTCTTCTCTGCAAACCAACGCTCACCATAAATTAATATCCATCGTTATATATTTAAGTTGTTTATGTTTTGGTAAGATCATATGAATATTTTTGTGTCAATCAACACTCACATTACTTTAAAGAATCGATAGCTTCCTGAAATCTTAGTTCGACTGTTAGTATTTCTAACATCGTTGATACGTTCGAATGAATATACAGCATTCGCAAGGAACTGTCTGGTGAAGTACATAAGTCAGTCATCTACAACGTAGGACCAGGCACATATATGCATCGATCCAAGTTTCTACCCCTCATTAGCACAGCAAGGTGAACACCGGATTCATAGAAGTAGTTAATTCAATGCTGGTAATACATTAAAGAAAGATTGCATATAACGATATGGTACAGAAAGAAAGATATGAAGCGATTTTAATCTCATAGTTTAAGGGAACACAGAGAGTATATACACCTACACCATTATGATCGATTCTGAGCCATGTCACTCACAGTCTCCAACAATTGGTTACGATAGTCACCCGAACCCCAACCAAGTAGTCTGCATCTACCAACATGACTCACACTACAAGTTAGTGACTTCAAGCACTGATGCCACGTTTTGGTTTGGCCAGCCCTAACTTTCTTCCAGCTGTTTCCAACACCAGTCACCATTGCGCGTCGTGATAATCGGTGTTCAGGCATACGTAACACGTGACCCAACCATCTCAATCTATGAACATTCACAACCTCATCAACTGATTTACCATATTTCCCTAATACTGTGCGTCTAATCTCACTATTACTTACCCGGTGATCCCAGAAGATGCGAGCAGTACTTCTAAGGCATGTGTGGTTAAATACTAGTAGCTTACGAGTAACTTGCATTTAGAAAGGGAGAAGCGCATCCCGAACATTCAGGGATTGTTGCTCAGTGCTACCAAAACACTGCACTTTATCAGCGTCTTCATCAAACAGGACTATATCATCTGCCTATTCTAAGTCGATAAGTGGACATCCTGGTAGGAGATCAATGCCCGAAAATTCAGTCGACGAGAGCGTTATTTTCACCAGTAGGTCTACGATGAAGCTAAACGAAAAAGCCAGAATCCCCCTCCCGTTTTTAACCTGAAACTACTGATGAACAAGAAATTGCTAATACGGATGTATTACATAGAGCAAGTCAAAATGACTGCATCTATCTTATATATGTACTTCAGAAATAAAATAAATTACATTGTAGGTTAGTTTGAAGTGGCGAGTTTCGTTTAGTTATTTTACATGGGGTCCAAATCTTACAAGCCTGGATAAGCGGTTAACATAAGACATGAAGGGAAACAAGCGAGCTATTTTTCAGGGTGGTACTACTAGTAACACTTGATGGATTGAAAGCACGAGTTGTCTAACAAGCTCAGTGAAAATAAGGAGAAACTATAATTTATGGACAAACCAATCAGATTTACAATAACATGTCTTGAATTTCGGTGCGAACTTCATTCATTTGGCTAAATAGTTTTTATATTATAGCTGATGTCAGTTCACAATAAAAACCCCAAACCTAAAGCCTAACCCCAACTATTAAACATAAATATTAATCTTAATTCCTTACACTAGTTTATAGCCCTCATTTAGCCGTAGTATGTAAGCGGACATTTTCAAAGTCTTTTTAGCGTCACTCAAAGGTCGTCCATAAATTATAGTCTCACTGAAAATGTTTGATTTTTTAGTAATCTGCTGAAAATAATAGTATTGGAACATTTCCAAATAGCAGATCTCCAAATGAGTATTTGTAGATTGCTCAATAAGTACACAATTATGCTTGAGCTACACTTCGAGTGAAAGAAAGTGACATCACTAAACTGTTAGGACCGAAACAGATGGAATGGGTCTTGAACTTGCAATTTCATGGCTGTAAGTCAAGCGCATTACAAAACAAATCACTCAAGGTGAGGACTATATTCATAGGCTAAAAACAGACTAATTCTTAGACTGAAGTCTGCAACAAGCTTAAACCAAGATAGTGAACATGTTAAACGAAAACTACTACAGTGACCGATTCACAAGTTATAATACAGATTTAAACAGTAAAAAGACAAAATGCGACAAGCAGTAATGACAAGCCGACAACTAAATATCACAATGACTTAATATATACATCGGATATCTGAACTCCAATCGAAATGATACAAGTAAATACATGTGAGCCAAAAACATTTACATGTAAAAGACTTTAGGAACTAAAACATTTCCAAGCAAACCTGAGTCTTTAATCGTCAAGATAACTGATTGACCGTCAACAAAACGGGATGAGCAGTGTTCAACGCGAAGACCGGCCAAATCATTGGGTTTGTACTTTTTACCATTTTGAATCAACCGTGACTCTACAAACTCAGAAACAGCCAACTGATCGTCAATCTCAGACAAAAGCTTTGCCTAGAAAAGCAATCAATATGAGCAAAGCCTGCATAGAACTTACTCTTTCTTCGGCTTGTTTCTGAATTCGTTCTTTCTCACGCATTTTCTCAACCCATGATTGAACATCCGATTCACATGCAGAAGGCGTGGACAGTTTTTCCTGCCCAATTTTATCTAACAGTGACCTTTTCTCTTTCAAGACATTTAGCTTTTCTTTGATTGCTTCTGATTCCCTTATTTTTCTGATATCTTTAGCTGGTGCATGGACGTAGCAGTCGGCTTGGTTATCTACTGCTCGTTCTGATTTTGAAGTATCATCAGCATCCAGAGGAGCAAGACCCAATTTAGCCCGCAACGCACTAAAAAAGTATATTATTTTACCCTATATTTACTTTGTTTCCGCAACTGAGAGAGAACTATCAACACCAGTGCCTCCAGCTAAGCATAAGTTGTAATAGGTTATACAATTTCACTTACTATCACTAGGTGATTGATCATCTCGCCTGGTAGCAACCCTATCAGTAATCTGGTCCAATGGAGAACGAGACCTATCACGATTCTTGTGACGATGTTTTTTGTGCGATCGATGAGGGGAACCCCTAGTCATTCTGTGAACCTAATAATGGCGCCTTGACCTTCAAGGTCAAATATTCGTAATCCACATCTCTCTACAAGTTTGACTTGACTTTCGAATTTTTGAATGTCTGTGTCTAGCCCTAAGGTACGTAGTATTCTATGGAAGTGTACACAGTGACGTATGTTAGAATGCAGATGAGAAAAAGTGAATCGTAACTTAGTAAGCCTGTAGAATGCACTTCTGTCCAGCGAGGCAGGTGGTTTCTAGGTCACGCATCTGCAACATAACACGCGTATAAACTTCGTGCTATGACTTCATACTACATAGTTTAGATCAAATGTTTCTCGATATATCAATTACTTCGCAAACATATTTTCAAACTCCTTCACTTAGGACTTCTGATTTGACTTGTTTAATATCCCCCAATCATATGGGTTTTACAGGCAAAAGCATTGTCAAATTCTAAATATCTGTAGCAGTTCTGAACGCAGGATGTAACCGCAACTGCAGGTGCAAACTTTCCATAGGTATATCAGTTCAAATATATTGTTGCTTTTGAATTCAGTGGGAGTTGAATTACTTATACTGCTTATAATTAACAGCGAATAACTGCTGGTTACGTATGTAATGGTAAAAAAGTCCCAAAACAAACGGTTTTGCGACCATTGTTCGAGACTGATGCTAACCGTGTTAGTTTTAGTTGACATTACTAGCTGACAGCTGAAAGACAAGTGTCAATACTAAATCTGGACAAAACTGGATGAGAAGCACTTTTCATATATTGGATAAATGGTTCAAAAATCTCACGTTCATCGACCTAAGCCTTCACAGAAATGTCTTTTCCTTCTAATAATCTTTTTATTTGTTTTTATTCAGCCTAAAAGATATTAGATACTTTGAAACTAGAAATGTTTCATTCTGCAGTGTAGACGTATATTTACGTTTACATTATATATATAGGTCGTTATATGTGTGTTTAATCTATGGACTGGCCTTATATGGGCGTTAGAAGTTTCTCCGATGCACTTAAAAAGAGTGGCATTTGCATATGTTTGAGGTTCAGTGATGGTAAGCGAAGAAGACTCTGATCGACTTACATGTATAAAACTATTGTTGATCGTTGTGAGGAAGATCCTGATTTCTCAGTACATCTGATTAACTAATATATTATGTACCACCATCGGTCCCTGTTATGTCCTATTTGGCTCATCTGTGTTATTGCCTTAATGTGAAAAAATTTTACATTCATTCGATTTCAATTACAGATTTGTTTTATCTCCACCGAGCGAATATTGTCTAGGTAAATCCTATGTACAATTTTACTAATTTCAAAAAATCATTCCTGATTTTAGTAGACGTTGGTCTTTCTTACCATCCTAATCTGGCAAAAGATTGGCAAAACATGGGCTCTACGGGCTGCCTGCAAAGGATTTCATTTGTAGATGTGGTAGAGTGATTTAAGAATTCTGAAAATTTTCAACGACAAGGAAATTCCAATCTAAACTTGGATGTCACCTAGGTAATTTACCGTAGCATATCAATGGTAAATCCTGTAAATCACTAAAGCAGATGGTCTTTGTTGGATGATTGTGGGTTGAACAAGAATGACGTAATGAACCTTCTGAACATGAAGTCACATCTCGCGGTCAATATGTAATGTGAATTACTCTTTCGCTTTATCAAAGTACTATGGCTGAGGTGAATATCGTATAACGTTAGCACAGAAACATGTTAGCAAGAGTAGGTACACGGAAGAGATCAAGACCACCACCACATAGGCCAGTTCATGGAGTGAGATTAACTAATGTTCGTTGGTTGTTCTTGACCTTGAGGATGCTCCGTGAACTGTTCGACTTTCGGTGACCCAACGGCTGGGTGGTTTGGCTGTGGACTTATGACATATCATGGGTTCATCATTCAATCGAGCAACTCAATCACTTAATAAAACATGTGATTCATTCATTTGAAAATTAAAACATTCATTCCCTATAAATATATAATGACGTGGATGCAGATAAAATAACATATTTTATTTCGTTGGTTAGTTATCGTGACTTAACTGTGTCGGTTTTTCCGGGTTAGAGAAATGTCAATCATGAATTGAGAATTGAAATTTATTCTCTAGGTCACTTGGGTTTTCATGGTGAATTAGTGTAACTCATTCAAAATTTCACCCTATCAACATTTAGATCCTGTTATCAGATTGTCACAATATCACACTCACGTTGTCTTGTTTCTATAAGTTGCTTTCATCATTAAATGTAAGTATAATCCATGTGCTCACTGGGTCATCAGCCTACTTTTACCGAGATTGTTTTTCCAATACACCCCTCATCGAAATCCCCTAGCACATATGGTATATAAAACTGGAGAACCTCTCAAAAACTAAGCATTATAGCATATGTTCACGCATTAGAAAACAACTTTACTCAGCGGGGAAAACCTTAGTACTACTGTTGTATTGTTGAAGGAATGTGGCGAGTTAAAATAAAAATACTTTCTCTTACACGTAAGAACTGTTTAGGTTGTTTTACGTTCACTTCGTATTGCACTACCCCTTTTTCGAATTTTTTTAGTCACTTTTCCCTGCTTCACCATTTTGCTGGTCAAATATAATATAGTAACAACTGTTTAGTCTAAGGAATCGACAGTACCAAATATAACTTTTAAAAATGCTATCATGTAAAACAAATTGACGAAATGAGAGAACGTCCAAATTAAAACCTGTCCAGCGTAAACATTGTTTCATTGAAAGAGAGCCTTTTAATGGTTTATTGCACCATTAGTTCCTTCAAAAGCGAGTCTGAAAAATAATCTTCACCTGATCATAAATTAGTTTCAACTAAATAATTGGAATTATGAACGATTATGCCAATCTTGTTGAATATTTTCGGCCATCATTTCAGGTTTCTCTGCTTACTGTTGGTTTTTCATAGTCACAAAATACCTTGATTTAATACAGGTGATAATGGTAGTCGTTATACTAACTGTCACTCCGGATACCAGTCCTTGTTTTGGTAGAACACATGTTATTTATTTTGAGAATAAATGTTACTCTTAACCCTTATTCAAAAGTGAGATCGGTTAGAAATTGGTTGTGACACTAGTTTTCATAACTAGAATCTGACCTCAGTGCAGGTACGACCTAAAAGTATGTGAAACAAGAAAATTAAATTTATGCTTATTTGGAAATTTTAACTGAATAAAAATCTAGATATAGTTTTATTTGCTGTTTTTGATATAACTTTTTCCCCAGTACCTCGCAAGACCGCTTTAAACACATCGCAGCGATTTGTCTACGCAGTTATTTTACTATTCTGCTACTAGTAACAATGCGCCTAATATTCATGTACCTGAACAGATAGATAAAAAAACGTGTTGTCCACCTTTGCTAGATTGTCTGAGCTATGGGCTTCCAAACGTATACCGGAGGGATGATGTTGTTCAAGTCAGACCCAAAATCAATTATATACACCTAATTATCTATAAATCAAACCATCCTATCAGCAAGTCATTTAAATGTAACATATAATTCTATCTACCGGAGATAGTTAACTAATGAGTTGATTTATAGCGGCAAACACGACAGTGTTTGTGAAACAAGTGTATAAGTAACTTTTTAAACATAATTGTAGAATATTAGAAGTGATTTAGATTAAACACCTCTTAATTATCCTTTTTATGCATTTTATTATTTATATCGATTTACAATGACCAATTCACTGCTTCTCCGACTTCAATCAGCCATCACCTAATTACTCGTCTTTTTGTAAAAGATTCAGTTCTGATGATAATTACCACGAAACAAAACTTGTATGTACCATATACATTAATACATTGATCCCCGAAAGTTTCCTTACGAAGATGTCTTGATTAACTTTTTGAGAAAATATCCTTATTTCTTTATGTGAGCCAACAAAACTGTAAATGAATAACTAACAAACAACGTGGCATCGGAATATTTGGGGACTATGTACTAAAATGTAAGATTTATACGTACTCCTAATATAACCCACAGACTAATACACACGGCATATTTCATTATGGAAAAAATTCCATAAGGTCACTTTCAAATTTAATTGCCGAAATCACGTATCAGTTTCTGAGTTCATCAAGAGATACAACAAGCCAAAATTTTGTTGCTGGTTTTCGGTAGTGATTAAGTTTAATCACGACCAAAATTTATCCATTTGTAGAAACGAGGACTCATTGTTTTTAATGAACTTCTAAGTATTTCAATCGTTCAATCAGTTTTGACAAATGGACTTTTTCTTAACAACCATTTTTTTTATCTAGTTGCTTCGTTTATTTATGATGTTTTATAAAACTGCTTTTTGCACCTTCTGGAACTTTTAGGGGTGTGGAATCGGAAAAAATCAAGTAAGAGATTATATTTTCAGGTTATTTATTTTTTGTTTAATGAGTTAGCTCATAGCCATCAATAATATTAATAATTCCCTTACTGACAGAGAATTTTGATGGGCTAATGATCGTTCTTCATATATTTTTGTAAAAACATTTATTACTAAGCAAATTGATGACAAAGTAAGAACTTAAAGGATAGTGTACGGAAAGAAGTGTTTGACCTGATGAGTAGTTAATGAGACCCAAAGTATACAGACAAAACCACGGCCATAAGTGAGTTCAAGGTAACATCTCCCAACAAATTTGTGTTGCACAGGCCTTAGAATTAGCTAAATTACGGATTTTTCACGATAGGCAAAGTAAAATCTTTTGTTGATGAGAAAGGATAACTATATTTAGTCTTAATTACGTATCTACTGAAATGTTTTCAGTAGTTAACTATTATTTCATTGGCATGTCCGCATTTCGTCATTTTATACGAAATTGCATACATATCCTGTTTGTACCATTTGATATTAATACATACTATTAAAGCTTATCAACAAAACTCATAAGAAAGAAGTGGCTCAGTATAATATGTTTTGGAATGTTGACAGAAATAAGGTAGTTGAGTCCATGTTGACTGCAAATTGCTAAGTGATAACAAGGTATCACATAAAAGTATT